TAATTTACTTTTGAATTAGATTCATATTTTGTTTCACATTTAACTTTTCTTTCAGCAACTTCTGTTTCAATTATATAGTAATCAGATATCCAATATTGAGGTATATTATCACAGTTTGTTTTTTGAGATAATTTTGGTGCTATGGGATAAGTTCCTAGGGCAATAACATTATAATATGAATTATATGTTTGTCCTTTTGATTTATATTGAGCTTCAACACTTGGACTTTTTGGATAATCGTACAACTGGAGAAAGAATTTGCTAATAAAAAATTTTTAGAGTATTTTAAAATAGAATAAAACAAATAAAATAATATATTTAAACAAACACCTTCTTTTCTATATTTTGACCTTCTACACTCTCGTCACCTACATCACGATTTTCTTTATCAATACCACTTTCTATATCTTGAACTTCTACCATTAGAATATTGATTTTCAACTAGTTTTTATGTTTCACAAACAAAAAATATATTTATTTATTATTTTTTTCATAGTTTCAATACAAATAAGAGATAGCTTTGCACAGACGATTCCACTGAAAACGGATTCCCAACAGACGCGATTTTACTTTTTAGTAATTGGTTTTATACATTTTAATATCTCATATTTGTCACGTTTTAGTCATGTGTTAAAACCAAAATTCGGGATAATCACTAAAATTTAATCAGAGATATGGCCCATATGAAATATATGAAATTATAAAAATTACAAAAATTACGATTTTTGGATTTCTGACGATCATTTATCCTTGTTCTTATTTACGAGAATGTCTAAAAAAATCGATCGTAGAACTGGTATTTATATTACCTCTGTTTTTTTATTTATTTATTATTTGTTTATAATTTATTTATAATTTATATTTATTTATAATTTATTTATATTTTAGTTGTACTAGATCAAACGACAAGAAACAAAAACATTCAACATCATTTAAACGAACTTGAACGAGATAATTATGCAGAAGTACCAGAACTAGAAATAGTTAGTGGTACAATGACGAAACCTAGGCGAACGGTTGAAGTTGATACTAGTCAAAGTACACATATAATATATTCGTATATATAGAGAGATAGATAGATATGTAAAGATATATAATATAATATATAATATAATAGATCGCAAGACAAAGGCAAGAAGTAAGAAAGAACTTTTAAGACAATTATCAGTTAAAAGAAATCTGAATGCATTGCTTGAAGAATCGGTAAATATATATAGATATAATAGATATAACAATCATAATAAATAATAACAATAATCATAATAAATAATAACAATAATCATAATAAATAATAATAATAATCATAATAAATAATAATAATAATAATAATAATAATAAATAATAATAATAATAATCATAATAAATAATAATAATAGAGAATAGATCAATTTCCACCAGATATTCCAACATATTTAACAGCTGCAGCAGGAAAATCAAGATTTCCACCAAGAAAATTTTGTTCTGTGTGTGGATTTTTAGCAAATTATAGTTGTAAAACTTGTGGAATGAAGTATTGCAGCGTTAAATGTTTAGAAACCCATGAAGAGACAAGGTAATTATTATTATTTATATAAAATATTTATTTATTATTATTATTATTATTTATTCTCATTATTATTGTTGTTATTATTATATTATATTATTATTTAAAATTTTAGATGCATGAAGTACACAGTATAATAATATAAATGAGAGAAAGGTAAGTTTATTATTTCTAAACTATTTCTTTATTAATCAGAAATAACTTTTGATAAAATCATATAATATATAATATTATATACATATATGTATTATGCATTTTATTAAATCTCAAATTATTCAAATTATAATTCGTAATAATTTTTTTTTATCTATTATATTTTGTACAAAAAAAATAATAAATTTTAATTTTTTTTTTTTATAATTGACCAATGAAAATATGCACACATACATATACAATCATCCACATATTCACATATGCTTATAATATAATAAAATAAAAATAATATTAATAATAGAAAAATAATAGAATAATAGAGAACAATAATAGAATAATAATAGAATAATAATAGAATAATAATAGAATAATAATAGAATAATAGAATAATAATGATAAAATAAACCAAATAAATCAATGAATAGAACGTGGAGGGATTTCGATCAAATTTTTATATGTGATATATAATATTCATCGGTTGGTCGATTCATTTATTGTTGTTGATTTGATGGGAAAGAAATTTTCATAATACAATAACTTGAATTCGTCAATTTTCATTAATATTCATTTAATATCCGTTAGTTGTAGAAAAATAGAAGGAGAGAGTAAAGGGAGGAAAGAGATAGAAGATAGAAAGGGGGAGGGGGAGATAGAAGATAGGAAAGGGGGTAAGAAGTGGATTTTTTAACAGGAAAAAAAATATATATATATGAAATAGAACAAAATGAAAGTTAAATTTATATAATTACTATATGTACATAAAATTTTACCATTTTCAATTAACTAAATATTAATTAATGTATTAATGTTTATAATAATTAAATTTTATTTTGAAACTTAAGAATAAGTGGAACTGGTAAAAAGAAAAATTAGTTAATAATTATGATAACGCGTGATACCAACCAACCCACCAACCAACCAATCAACCAACTAACCAACCAACCAAACAAACAAACATAAATTATAAATGTAGAATTACTTACTAATAATAATTGCCAATATAATAACACAAACGATGGTAAGAATTACAGTCATTTTAGCATCTTTCCACCACATTTTTTTTTGAGTCTCTCTAGATTGTTTTCGGAATTTATCTGAACTAGACGCTAGATTTTCTATTCAAAATAATTTATAAATTAAATGATTAAATAATTAAATAATAATAATAAAATTAAACAATTAAATAATATAAATCATTTGCCTGTTTGTGCTTTCAGAACATCTAATTTTTCCCCTCTATCCGCTAAATCCTTCAAAGATTTATGAATTTCAGTTTTAGTGGATTCAATTTGTTGTGAGATTTTTTCCACCTTAGAACCGGATCCATCTTGAGATTCTCTTGGGGGATGTGGATCATAATAACCTTTATCTGACCTTATAGAAAAAATTGTGTAAAATTAAAAAAAAATTAAAAAGAAGAAATAAATTTATTATTATTATTATTATTATTATTATTATTATTATTTGTATTATTATTATTGTTATTATTATTATTATTCTTATTCATTTTCTTGTTATTTAAATTATTTTTTAAATTATTAAAGTACTCAATTTTCTTGGGATATAAATCAAGAAAACTTATTTTATATTTATTTGTTTTTATAAATACGAACTCTTTTTATATATATATACGCATACAAAATACTACAAAACTAATCAGTAAACTCGTATATTCCATATTTCCCTTTCGTATGTTGATTATTTTTTTTTTCTCAAATGATACTTACATTATGTATTATTAATATTCAAACGTTTAAGTTGTTGCGTTGGTGAAATAAACTATAAAATTCTATAAAAAAAAAAAAATCCTTTTTTTTATTACAAGGTAAATATGGTAATTAAAGCACGTTACGAGAAAATTCAAATAACAATAATTGAATTTGTTTTTTTTTTTTCTCTTTTTTTTTTTCTTAGTAAAAGAAAAGTATAAAGGAGTACAAGGAGGCTTTTAACTGTAAAGTGGCTGTGTTTCTCTCTCTCTCACGGGTATTTTAATTCATTAACCCATAGTTAACTTGTTTGAAATTCCCGTCAAATAGATTAATTTTTTTTATAACAGATAATAAAATTTCTTGGGTTCAATTCTCGATCGCAGTATTGTGTAAAACTTTATTTACAAGGATGTTCTTTCAAATTGAAAGTTAAGAAAGTGATGGTGATGAATTTTAAAGAATAAATAGAGGTGAATTTCTTTGGATATGCAGAATTTTCATAAAATTTTAGAATTTATTAATAAAATAAATTTCTATCAATTATCATACAAAGTATATTCATTCATTTCTAACATTTTGATGCACTTTTTCTTTAAATAAATAAATACCTTTTTCATCTATTTTTGTATATTTCAAATAAATTTATTATCTATTTTTGGCATCCTTACTTTTCTCTATGTAAATTAACAAAGTAAAACGCACAAAGTTAATTTTTTACATTACCGCCCCTTTGCTTTGTCATATATATTCTACACTTTGGGTTGAAAATTATATCCATCTCCCAAATTCATTAAATAATATAATCCTTGAAATCCTTTTTTAACCTGTTTTTTAACGCGAGAAAAAAAAATCTAATAATTAATCGAAAAATTTATTAAATTAAAACATCTTATGGTTTTTTTATCATCTGTCAAAAAAAAAAAATCCAATCATCTTTAAAGTCGAATGCAAAGCTTGCTTGGTAACTTGAGTACGATCGAATAAAAACATGATCGAATATTATTCAAAAAGTTATTACTTTGACTTTCTTATTCTGCTAAGCCTATTTACTTAGCCAAATAACCTGATTTGAAACCAGAGTTTTGGCTATGTTATTATATAATAAAATAATAAATGATTGATTAAAAATAAAACACCAGTAAAAGAATAAATTTCTTTTATTAGAGCATATTACGTTTAATTATTAAACATTTACATTTATATTAATTAAACATTGTTATTAAAGAAAGAAAAATACATAAATTAAAAATTATACACATTAATGATTAAATCTATATATAAAGCAATCTATATTTTCTATGAGATTAAATAATTATGTTTCGCATTTAATTATTTGACAAAGAAAGGATTGTTTCCTTGATCATAGTAAGGGATATTAGGAAATTTCAAATTTCGTTGTTTAAGAGATGGTTGGGGCGGAGGATTTTGGGGCGTAGTGTTTATTCTGTAAAAATGATAAAATGTAATAATCAAACATTTTTATAGAAATATAAAAACGTATTAAATTATACAAACCTTCCTAATTCAGCGTTTCGACGCTCATTCAAACGGTTCCATACATCGAACGCTTGAAAGGTACCGAATTGTGCATGTGAATTTTGTGAGGAGTACATGGGAAATCGAGAAGATGTAACAGTTTTAACCTGAGATTGTGCCAATTTTACTAGAACACAATATATATATATATAATATTAAGTTGATAAATTTTTTTTTTTGAGGTAACAAAAACACTAAAATCAAAAAAAAAAAGATAGAAACGTACTTTCATTATGAAGAAAATTTGTCTTCACTTCGCGTTCATCTCGGAAAGGATCAAATGGACCTTTAAATTGTGAGAATTCAGCTGGAGGTGAGTTAAAAAGGTTTGAAGGAAGAAGATTTATGCCACTAAATTGTACAGAATCAGAAATGGGATTGACCTAAAATCCAAAAAAAGAAAAAAAAAATTGTGCTCGGATGAATTAAAATTACATTTTACAATAATACTTATCATTATTTAACTTACAAGATTATTATTATTAACATCTGATTCTTGATCTGTATCTTCGTCGTCTTTTTTAAAAGGAGACAAACGATCTTGCAAATCTTCAGGAAGTGTCATACCGGACACTTGAAGTATCATTAATTTCTGACGTTCGGTAAAGACTGGTGTCATAATACCAGCGCGCATCTTAATATAAATATAATAAATGGGAAAATAATATTATATAAATTTTAAGAAAAAAAAAAAAAATTAACATTAAAATTAAAAGTTGTTTACCATTCGCTCTAACAAAGTCTCGTCAATACGATGATAATCTTTGCTCAAATGAATTTTAAGCGACTCGATTGCAACTATTATAATTTATTATCCTTTAAACGTTGATAGTTTCTATTACATAAATTTTATTGATAGATAAAACTTACGCTTCAACATCTCAAACAAAAGATCGCGTTGCAGAGTAGTATAAAGATCTCCTTGGTGAAAGGGGAACTATACAAAGATAAAGTTAATCTTTTTTTTTAAATATATACATACATACATATATATATATATATATAGTACTTGCCTTTACAAGAACGCTAATGATATTTTCGAATGGTCGTTCCGCACATTTACGAGAGAAATGTAACTGTCAAAAATGCAAAAAAAAAATAAAAATAAAAAATAAAATAATAATAATAATAAAGTAGATATGTAATTATTCTATTAAAAAGTTAACAAATTAATAATTTAAATGAATGAATGATTTAAATACCTTATAATTACGACAAACGACTAGAAGTGAATTCATTTCCTCTCTCGTAACAAAAGGAACGTGTGGTACATTAGGAGCTGATTGTAACATCTCGGTTGTGATGACAGCATCACAACCGGAAAATTCTCCTTTCCACTTGGGAAATATCGCTCTCATCAAATCTTCTTGAGATGATCGCATACACGATACGAGCCGTCCTTTCAATGGCTTTATGTTACGTGTATCGACTGCACGATGCGCATCTGCAAGCGTCGCCAATTCAACGTAGGCTTCAGAGAGTGTTTTCCCTGTTGTTCTTGTTAAAAAACAAATAATCATTTTATATTATTTTATATTTATATATATATATTTTATATTAATATATATTATTTATATTTCATCTCACCTGTCCATAATAATATGAATGCATTGTGCATACATTGAAATACTAGGTAATTTGAAAGCCGTGAAGAAAGTTTTGATTTCTTTCAATGATACATCCCACGGAATCTTTAAATTAAAAAAAATTTTTTTAATAATGTTAAGGATATTAAGGATATTAAGGATATCATTGAATATTAAAAAAAAAAAAATGCAGGATCTTTTTACATTAGTTAATTTAACCACGGGCCAATTATGTGGAATTGCTAACTTGCTGAGTTCACCAAATTGAATCTGTTGAGGTCTATTAGTAACAGCAGCCATGGATTGAACTGGTCGTGTAGTTGCCTGTGTTATACCAGGGAAATCCCAAGAAATTGGATGAAAATTAACAGCTTCTTCAGATTGTCTCACAATTGGTTGAATTAATTCATTTAATTTTGGTTTCATTAAATAAGGTCCAACTTGTTCAATTTGCTCAATTTGTCTTTCGGAAATTTTCTTAAATTCTGTAACAGGCTGACGACAAGAATAATTAATAATAAAAAAAACAAATAATAAAATAAGTGATTAATATTTATCGTTTATATATCGTTTATATCGTTTTATATTATTACCGTATCACAAAATACACATTCAGAATATGTCTTGCTAGAACTCTTGACGGTGTTAGTACGTAAATTGTGGACGCATACTTCACACATTCTTAGAAATAAAAATAATAAAAATGAAATATAGAAATAAGTGAATTATATATGGACGTAAAAGATTATATTTGAAGAAAATACCTATGACTACAAGGTCTCAATAAAATATTCCCATGAATGCAAGCCATACAACGAATTTGAGATGAATCCTTTTGATTTTCATTCTGAGTAGGATTTTTTTCTTTTAAGGTAACAATTCTAGAAGATTGAGAATTAATTAAATTAATTTGATTCGACATCATCGATTTTTGTTGAGAAGAGGTTGCTTGAGTTTGAGAAAATGATACAGATGCGAGTTTGTTTATGGTAGAAGAGAGTGGAGAGGTTTGCGCAGTTGTATTTTTTTCTGACTTTTCTTCCAATACTTCCAACTATTTTGAGATATATAATAATTTATGTAATGATATATAATAATTTTCTAATAAAAATTAATAAAAATAAATAAATAAATTTATTCTTAATTTATTAAAATTACCAACCGCAAATTGATCTTTAATGTAGAGTAATTTTCCATTGAAATTTGATTTCCCTGCTGTCTTATTATTTTCAATAGAATCTTCCGAAATAGAAGTAGAAATAGTTCGACCACTTAATTCACTAGAGTGACCTGATGATTCGGATTTATTTGAATCAGTAGGACTAATCTTTAAATTATCGATTTGAGGTTGTTTTCCAGAAGGAGTAGCATCATAGGATGCTAAAATCGATAAAAAGAAGTTAATGTTAATATAATATTTAATATAGTTTAATATATATAATTTAATATATAGTTTAATATATATAATTTAATATATATAATTTAATAGATATAATTAAATAACCTTCATTGATTTTACTGGATATCTTTTCAAGTGCTTTATCAAAAGCTTCAGCGATATTTTTCTTGCCTGGGGTAACTAATGTTTCCTTTGAGTTGGAAACAGTAGGAAGAGATTGAACTTGTAAAGTGTTTGACTCTTGAGGCATAAATATTTTCTTAAATATATATATATAAAAATCTTTAATAAATATTATTTTAAAATCATTTGCTGTGTGTGTGTGTGTGTGTTTTTTTAAAAAAAAAAGAAAATTTACCTCTTCTTTCTTTTTTTTTTTTATTGAACTTTTCTTTAAGAGAAATAATAAAAAAAGGTGAGTGTGAAAAGTGGAAGAGTTGGGAAGAGTTGAGAAGGTTTGTTTGAAAAGGACCAATTTTATTTTTTTTTTCTAACACTTGCTTCTTTTCATTCTTTCTCAAAAATACGCGTTTTGAATGACGTAAGTTACTTTGATATATGCATATCAAGAAGTTTAATTTAAACTATAAGTAAGTCTTCTTATTCAAAAAAAAGTTTAATATATAATACATATAATACATATAATACATTTAATTCATCTAATACATACATATAATACATATAAATAATAAATAATACATAACATCTCTCTCGATAATACGGTGATTTTGAAGTTTCGCGCCCAGTTTCTTTTTTTGTCACATGAAAGTAAAAAATCGAAAATACAATTTAAAGGTTCAAATTGAATAAATTGAATGTAAAAAATTAAAAGTACAAATTGAAAGTAAAGTTCAAATTTTAGAAATGAAATAAAATAATAGAATCATTATTATTAATATAAAGAAACAACTCATTAAAAATTGAAGACATTTATGAGATATATATTGGTTTTATTGAAATTCTTAACAATATTCATAAACTTTTATTCTACACAATTTTAAGAGAACTGCAGGAAAAAGATTCATTTTATTTTTAATTAATAATTAATGAATAAATTATAATTAGTAAATCTCGTTATTTTACTATTTCGACACATGAAATTTTATAATTATATAATAATAATAACTATATTAATAAAAATAAATTAATTAATTATAATTAAATGATAAAACATCCTTTAACAAACTTTTTAGCAAGGAACTGATCATAAGATCAAACCAATCAAGTTCGTGGATCATTACAAAAAAAAAAAATATCGCGTTTCTTTTTTCCCTCACCAATAAATTTTATTAAAAAAAAAAAACACGTCTCTTTGGATTGAATAATTTATCAATGGAACTAACTCCTTTCTTACTTGAAAAAACACGTCTTTTGGTTATTTCCAATGAGGTTGTTCAAATAACCTTACGTTCAAATAATAGGTATTCTGATTATTTTCTATTTTTTTTTTTTTTGATTTTTTTTTGACGTTGTAAGTTTTTGTTCTTGGTTTTATTAATATTTGATATTTTTAAATAACCAGTTACACAACGTCTTATTATAATAATAATTCACAATTACAAGCTGAAATAAAGGTTATTTTTTTTTTTCAAAATATTAATATTTAATATTTTCTTTTCCATTTTTTTTTCATTGATAATAAAAACTCTCTCTCTCCCATTAGAAAATTATAATAGCTTGCGTCAGAGTAAAAAATATTGATCAAATAGTAGATGGTCCAGGATTTTATTTACTTTGCAGTATATAACTTTATTATTATTTATTTTTTTCTTTATTTTTTATTCAAATATTTTAATGTTTTAATGTTTTTAACAAAGAAAAAAAAATTAATACAGAATACTAACAATTTATTTATTTCAAAATATTTTTTTGATATAAATCACTTGATCGTTTTATTATTCGTTTGTTGACGATTTATTTATGATTTGATGATGATGATGATGTGTTAAAAGGGAAAGTAAATTGGAGAATTGGATGTCGTTATAATTTTACGAAAGGTAGAAGGCGCCTTAGAGCGCATTTATACAAATATAATTTTGAATTGCAAATTCTGGAAGATCAAGAAGATCGAAATGATATAGGGTACGCCAACGTCGATCATTTTTAATTTGGAAAATCCTCTTTATTTATGACTTAATAAAAAAGAATTCCCCATAAATTTTGTGTTTGATCTTTTTTTTGGTTATTATATATTTAGAACGAATGTTTTAAATTCAGGTCAAAATAAATCTATTCGGCAAAATCTACAAAGTGTTACACAAGAAATTTCTTTTGAAAATAATAATAATAATAATAATAATAATAATAATAGAATCACATTAGAAGAAGACATGGTGAATATATGGTTTTATAAATTATATTAAAAAAAAAATTTTTTTTATAGGTTTTCTTAATTTTAATATATACAAATCATCATCATGGTTCATCCCAGGAAGAAATTATGTCATCATCACAAAATGTTTATATTCAAGATGATGATAACGAAAATCATGATCGTGACAACGAAAATTATGATCGTGACAACGAAAATTATGATCGTGACAACGAAAATTATGATCACGTCAACGAAAGCAGTGGTCATGTCAACGAAGACTATGATCAAAAAAGCGAAGATGACTTTCAATCAAGTGAAATTAGAAGTATATCATCATCATACCCTCAAATTACCAAATCTTCTTCTAAAGAAATATCAGGAATATCAAACTTAACTTCTGAGTCAACATCGTCGTCAACAAATAAAGTTATTAAAACTTCAAATCTTGTAACTCCCCAAAGACCAACTCGAATTAATTATAAATCATTGAGCACTGGTGAAGGGAAAAGGCGCTTAGAAAAGAATATGATGAATATGGAATATGTGGAGGATGAAGATGCCGAACAATCTACTTCTATAAGAAGATATATTTCGGCAACAGATAGTAGATTAGGGAAACGAAAAGAAAGATTTGATGATAATAACTATAATGAGAATGAAACTAATGAAACTAATGAGAACAATAATAATAGTACATCTTACAGGTATAACAAAAAGAAAATTAAATTAAATTATTATTTTTGATTATTTATATTTATATTAACAAAAATTTCATTTGAATTTGTAAAAGTTTTTTTGAAAGAATCTTTCAATTTTTCCCGAGAAGAAATACTAGAAATACTTTATGAAGGTATAATTATTATAATATACGTCTATTTCAATTTTTTTTTTTCTTTTTGCAATTTTTATAAATTTTATAGAATTTTCTCAACATAAACATAAAAATAAAATGCTGTAAAATGACATAAAACATAAAAATAAAATAAAAAATATTCCAATTCTATTATATTATTACATTATTACATTTTATTACATTTATTCAAATTTAATATTTTTTGATTGATCGGAAAGAGTTTAATCAACATCTAATAAACTCTGTGTCACTTTTATCATTGATTCTAGCCAATAATAACTGACTAACTAAAATTAGACACAACATATAAAAACCCTTGAATCTCAAATCTCTTTTCGATCATTAATAGAAATGAGTTTTGGAACACTTCAGGCAAGAATGTTGAAACTTTTTCCCTCTTAGAAAAGTAATTCTATTATTTTTTAAATAATATTTTTTGAATAAACTTCTAGATACCTTCTATCATTCCTAAACCGACCATACAAGCCTATATAGGTATTTAAACAAATTGCTATTCATAAAAATATTTGTTCTAAGGAATTTTTATGTATATATTAATAATAATTATTTTCGTGTTAGAATATAAATATTAATAAAGCACACCACACATATTTTTAATGTTTTAGAGAGAGCATGTAATCCTCAAATGTTTGAACCCGATTTAGCTTTAGATTTGGAAATCGCGGATTTAATCAATCAAAAAAAGCAAAATTAGTAATGTTAAAATTTTTTTATAAGAAAAGTGAAATGGGGGGTTTTTTTTTTATGATTTACAAATATTTTAATATATATATTATTTTATTTTATTTCATTTTAAAGTCCACGCGATGCCGCATTTCATATCGTGAAATTTATTAATCATCGTAATCCAATTGTGTGCATGTTTGCATTGACGGTATTTTATGAATTTTTTTTTTTTTATTAATAAATAACTTTTTTTTTAAAATTAAATTAAATAATATAATTAAATAATATATATATATGTTTATATGTTTATATGTTTAAACATTAATTTTTTAATTTATCAAAATTAAATTTTATGAAAGCTTTTAGATATATGTGTTAAAAATTGTGGATATCCATTTCACTTACAAATTGCCACCAAAGAATTTTTAAATGAACTTGTAAAGAAATTTCCAGATAAACCACCGGTAAGAATTTTATGTTTTGAAGATTTATGATGGTGATGATATTATTATTATTATATTATTATATATATATATTAGATTTATGAATTATATTATTATATTTATTATATTTCAAAAAAAATATAAATAGATTATTCCTAATCCTATTCAACTGAGAATTTTAGGATTTATTCAAGAATGGAAGTCAACTATTTGTGTAACTTCACGTCATAAGGATGATCTTCGCCATATTAACGACATGCATCGATTACTTCTTTATAAAGGTTTGATCGATCACAAGGAATCATATGATTTAAAAATATTATATAAATATATTAACTACTATAAAAATTTATTTCAATAAATAAATAGGATATATATTTCCAGAATTGGATGATAAATCCGCGGCAGTCCTCAACCCGACGGAGGTCTGAAATCTTAGTTCTATGATTTTGCCGAAATTTTTTACATGATAATCAATTACATCAAAAAAAAAAAAACTTAAATTTCCTTCATATTCTTCAGACGTTAAAATCTCCTGATGAGTTAGAGGAAGAGGATCGAGCTGCGCAAGCAGCGGTATTTTTTATCTTTCAATATTTCATTTCAGATTATTTTCCGGATTTTATTTTATTTTTTTTTCTTTTACTCATAAAATGATCAAATACCTTCCCGAAAATTCTTTTATTATTTTGGGTAAATAATAAATTACGAAACAAAAGAAATTACAAGAGTTAATTCGTAGAGGTACACCAGCAGATTTAGAGGAAGCAAATGAACTTATGAAAATCATGGCTGGATATGTAAGTTTCCATAAATTTTATCATAATTTAAATTTAATCTTATTCAAAATTTATAAATTTTTGAATATGAATTTTCAGGATCCGGAACAAAAGCCTGATTATAAGATGCAGGCTAATGAAGAATTAGAACGTATCCAAAGGAAAACAATACTTTTAAATGATATGCTTGATAATGTTAAGCCAGATGAATCTATTGGAGAAGGAGATATATTTGAGGAAAATATCAACATATATATATTTATATTTGGAAATGTTTATTATTCATTCATTCCCATTTTAATGTAATTGTTTATTTTGTTTATTTTTAATAGGATTTGGTACAAGCTTGTAAAGCCGTACAACCTAAAATTCAGAAATTTATTTCTGAAGAAGAAGATTCAGAAAGTGTTGGTAAATATTTTTTATCCGATGTTATTATATTTTAATTGTATATTAACTATTCATTTATATTGTTTCATTTCTATTGTTTCATTTCTATTGTTCATTTATATTGTTGTTCATTTATAATCTATTAATTCAGAACGTCTTTTGAGTTTAAATGATTTGATCAATACGGTTTTGAAGAGATATGATGATATTTCAAAAGGAATATTCAAGGAACCAAAAGAAACGCCGCATCCTCCACCACCGTCTACAACGTAAGTTATTTTAAAACAATAATATTTTTTAAAATGATGATATTTTTTTAAAATGATATTTATTTATAATGGAATTACTTTTCTTTAAAGTGCTTCGGATTCATGGTTAATTGACCTAGGAGATGATGAACAAAATCCACCACAAGGACAAATTCAAATTTCTGATGATTTGCTTGGTGATCAAAATATTTCATCCTCTGAAAACAATAAAACAAAAACAGGTATAAAAATTATTAATAAAATCATTATTATATTATTATTATAATTATTATTATTATTATTATTATTATTTAAAATAATATTTTTTTCTTTTGTTATTATTATTATAATTATTATTAGGAACGGCTATGGATGATTTAATTGGATTGTCATTCAATTGAATTAAAATTAAAATCAGAGTTCTTATGATATTTACGATATTTTTTTATTTATTTATTTTTAATATAAATGGAAGTAATTTTTTTTTTTTTGATAAATGTTATAAAAATAGAATAATTTATTAAATATTACAATTAATCTCTGTATTGTTTCATCTGATCAAAAGATAAACATTTTTATTTCTTCGAATAAAATTACGTAAAATGTCATAAGATTACTGACAAATAAATTTGTTACACGAAAATAAGATTAGAGTATGACGAATATGTGTAATCAAAATGGTATAAATTACGAGTCCCAATTTAGTTTATAAATTTATTCCCTGTTCTGTTCTTTTTTTTTTTTTTTTTTCCTTCTTCTTCTTTGAAAAGAAAGTTATGAATATGCAGCGATCAAATTCAAATAATAAAACTCCTTCAGATCGAGCAGCTTTATTTTCTGGTGAAACATCAACTGGAAGAAAGTTATTTAATAATTCTAGCATAGATAATGCTACTCAATTTGAGCAACAAAATGATATTCGATTACAAGAATTAAATTCCAAACTTTCGGCTTTACATAAAGTATGATTGAACAAATGGCGAAAGATTAAAAAATGCCGTGGTATTTTTTTTATCTCCTTTTATTTTAATTCTTTTGAAATAATCAATTTATTCTTTGTTACCATTTTTAGATCACCCTTGATATTCATAATGAAGCTAATGATCAAAATAATATCCTTGATAATATGGTTGTTATATATATATATATCTATATATTCTTAACTTCCTTCATTAATTTTTTCTTATATGATTATTATTTATTTATTTATTTATTTATTTGCTTTGTTCATAAATAATTAGGGTGATTCTTTCACAGGAATGGGTGGACCTTTAACACACACTATTAATCGACTGAAACACATGACTTCTACAAGGCATAAGCAATACATGTGTTATCTAATTCTGATAATTATTGGGACATTTTACTTGCTTTATTACTTCTGGGGTTATTGGACAAATAATAATGGCGAGGGTAATGAATTAAAATGATATATGAAGAATGATGAAGAATAATGAATGAATGATGAATGAATGAATGAATGAATGAATGATACATGAAAGAAAGTTATATGAAAGAAAAATATGAGAGAAAGAATACACAAAGATATAAAAGATATATTTAAAAAAAAAATTCATAATAGACAATTCAATTTTTCCCTTTAATTATTTCACAATTATTTCTTATTTTTATTTTTTCTGAAAATTTTTTAATATAGTAATCAAACTTCTTACTAAAATTTTTATAGAATTCTTTTTTTTAAAAAAAATTTTAAACAAGTTATCTTAATTACCTCATAACACGAGAAATAGATGCGAATCCAAAAGTAATCAAAAAGTTGAAACTAATTTAGCGTGAAATAGAATGAGGACCACCAGTAGTTGGTTGTTGTGCTTCTCTTCTTGCAGCATCTTGTAATAAAGCTGTATCTACCGCACTTGCAGGTAGTTGAACATAACGAACCACTGATCCACGTATAAAACAATTTTTGACTGCCATCTAGAAATTATGTAAATATTATTATAAATATTATGTAAATATTATATTTATTAAATGTGATCAAGAATAATAATTAAATACCATGTGAGGATACTTTGCATCGTCTACCACTCGAACATCATCAAGTTTAATATTTAAAAATTGGTCAACGGAAGTTAAGGTACCTGTGATGGCAAGATCGTTTTTCAATTCTACTGTCACTTGATGACCAATAAGTGTCTTGAAAAATGAGTAAAAAAGCTATATATAAAAATCAATGATAAGAAAATTATTTATTTAAAATATTCTGGATATATAAATGATTTTTTATTTGAAAACCAAAATTTATTAAAATTATTATCATCATCATCATTATTATTATTATTATTTTAATTTTTATTTATTATTTTGAAATTTATACGTGTATCCGATGAAAATAAATCATAAAAAAGCTCGGAAATAAAAAAATAATGATAATAATAATAAATATGTTTCATATTTTTTCTCTGTTTTTTTTTTGTCCCGGTTTCTACAAAAGCGTCGTGTAAGTGAAAAAATTTATCTGCGAAAATAATTTGAAATAATTTGAAGTGTAAACAATTCTAAATGGAAAGGGTAAAAAAAAAAAAAAGGGGGGAACGGAAAATATTTCAAAAGATAAATTAATTAATTAAATTAATGTGCATACCATTTTTGATATTCTCTAAAGTTTTTTCTAAAACAGCGAGTCAAAATTTGACATTTTTTATGTCAATTAAACACGTGGACATGTGTAGTACAAATAGATAGAAATTTTAATTTCCGTGAACGGAACAATACCAACAATACCCATTTTTTATAATGACCACTACAACATCGGTTCAATTTACGGTGGGGAAACTTGATGCGGGTATGGTAAGTAACTTCATATAATTACTTTATTCTAATTATTATGTTATATTTATATTTTAAACAAAAAAAAAAACTAAAAATAAAATTCACTTTTTTGTTTAGGCAATTTTGTTAACTGAAGACCATCACCTAATTGAATTTCCTTCTCTTTTACTTCCACCAGGTGTCACATCTGGTAGTATAGTTAACATTGGTGTGAATCGTAATTATGAACAAGAAGATCAACAACGTAAAGAGTTTTGGGAACTTCAGGAAGCCATTCGTGAAGAATTTGGTTGTAATCCACCTGAACCACCTAAACTTCGTTTAAAACATGTAACTCAAACATCCGTTATTCTTGAATGGGAACCTTTAGTGCTTCATAATGCAAAATTGAAATTTCTTGACATATATCGTAATGGTGTACGATTAAGTCAACACGCTTTACCTGGTGTTAATTATATTAAATTGAGTGGATTGGAATTAGATACAGAATATGATTTTCATATCGCAGTTAAAACTACAGCTGGTTCTTTTATTTCCAATAAAATTAAAGTTAGAACACATACTTTGGAAAATTTAAATGGTATTAATGTTTGTTTTGGAAACATTTCATCAGATCTTAATTCGGAATCTGAAGGAACTTCAACTCCAACTCAACAAGAATTGAAAGAAATTTTAAAAAGAATTGGAGCAAGTTATAGTGAACATGTTGGACCTGATACCACACATTTATTATGTGATAGTCAAGGAGGTTTAGAGTATCAAAAAGCAGAAGAAGGTAGTATACCTATTGTTAAGCCAGAATGGTTGGTTGCTTGTGAGAAAGAAGGAAAAATGCAAGCAGCTTTACCTTATTATCTTGTTCCACTTTCAGAAGAAAGTAATTAAAATTTGGTTTAATATTAAATTATTCAAAATTATTCAAATTATAATTATTTAAGTGATTGAAATAGAGATTGAAATATATTAAATATAATATAATCTTGTAATAAGTAAAAATATATATAATATTAATTGTGTAGGAAGAAAAAGTAATAAATTTGTGTAAAAGAGAGTTAATAATGATTATGGTAATAATAATAATAATAATAATAATATCAGGAATCTCTAAAATAAATAAATTGCACAATAGATAAAATAAAATATTTAAAATTATTGCTTAATTTTTTCATTAATAATAATTTATATTCCTATTACATAAACACTATGTAGAAAAAATATTCTATGAGTTAACTTCATTTACATTTACATATATAAGACTAGGATCTATATATATATATATATATATATTCATATTAATAATGAAAGGCAAACATTAAAAAAATTTTCCTTCTTTTTAATTCATTACATTATTTCATCATTAAATTCTGAATCCTCAAAGAAAAGACTATCATTTCACCAATGGACGTACATGACCTGAATCATCTTTACATAAACGTTCATTATATTTTTGCATTTCCTTTAAATATGCATTGGCTTTTGGATCCAACACTTCGCCACGTTCAACAACCTCTAAGGTGGCGCGTTTAGATTCCGGTTCTTCATCCGTGGGTTGACTTCTACGTTTTCCTCGGTTTTTCTTTGATTAAAAATTTTGCTTAACAATTATTATAATATTATATAATATTATGAATAAGAAAGTAATAAAGGTTACTTAAAAAAAAATACTTACAATTCGATCTTCAAATGCTTTTTTCCTGTTGTTTCAAATTCAACAAAAAAAACATATTAAAGGATGAACAAATTATTCACCCAACGTGGAAGGAATTTATTTTTATAATACATAGATTTTTTTTTTTGTTTTCATTAAAAGAATTTTTTGGTTTTAAATTTTTTTTTTTAAAAAAATTAAAAAAATATTGAGTAAGTAAAGTTTTTTTTTTTTTTTCGAAAATTAACATTTAATGTCAAAAAAAAAGTTATCTATTCACTTCCTAAAGATTTGATCTATTCATTCATTCAAATAAAAACAATTCCAAAATTTCCATCATGATAATGCTAAATTGTTGAATCGATGATAATTTCTCGAGAAATCCGTGCCCCCTTTTTTTTTTAAAAGAAAATTTTTCATCGCATACACCGTTCTATGACAAAGGTAGTATCAGTTCACACAAAATCGGAAAGTCAGAGACACGCAACCTGTTGGTTTATTTTCAAGTCTCTTAACCACATTCCAATTTACAAGTATCATAATTTCCGAGGGTTAGAATGAACCAAAAAAAAAAAATTATTTCTGAATTCCTCACCTTTCTAAAGCGTCAAGCTGTTTCTTTTTCTCGTCTTCTTCGGCTTTCATTTTTTTAAATCGATCCAAAAAGTTTCCGTCATTTGAAAAAATATTTATTGCAGGTGTAGAACTAGGTACATTTTTTGAAGCTTTTCCAATTGTAGAAACATTATTACTTGCTGGTGTAATTGTAATAAAGGACTCCTTCTCTTTTTTGTTACTCGCGGAAGAGGATGCGTCAGAAGGAGTTGGAGAAGAAGGTTGAATTGTTGAAGATTTTGATGTCATAGTATTATTACTTTCACTCATGGTAAGGGTTCGACAGTTTAAGAACTTTGCTAGAAAATGACGTTAACTAAATATGTAACTGTTTAGTCATTATAATTATTTTGTCACGTGGAATTGGACTCATTATAACGCGTAAATTAAATCAAAGATTTAATTCATTTCATTAACGATTCAATATTTGACCTAACGTGTAAGAAAAGTAAGAAAAAGACCATGTCCAAAATACACAAATATTTTAATCGTAAGTGTGCGGAGTGGGAGACTGCGGTATAGAAGATTTTAAGAAACAGGTGGAAGCTTACCTTACATCCCTCGAAATTATCTCTAATACTCGGAAAGGTATAAGAGGTGAACGAACACAAGAATTGCTTGATAAGTATAGAATGGTCGTTTTTACAAAAACATAAATAAAGAATTTTTGGTAGCGTGACGGAGGACTTTGAGTCCTGTGTCATTCAAGTCTTTGAGACGAGCTACGAAGCTAATGTGGGGGCGCAGAAAATCCTTGAGATTGACTGACGTTCAAGACTTCGAGTCGACCTGACATTAGCCCATAGGGGCGCAGAAAATCTTTGAGATTGGCTGACGCTCAAGACTTTGAGTCGACTTTACGGGATTTAAAATCAGATCAGTTAGAAATAGTCAAGGAGTCAAGAATACTATTAATTTTAAGTTTCTACAAGGGTTCTCGACCTGATCGCCAGCTGGTAAAAAATTGGCAATCACGAAAAAGCAAAGAGTCTGTTGGCACCTCGGTTCACATACACCAATTAATCAAATTTTGAGGGTAGTTCTCTAGGAATTGGGATTGGTGGTTCATTCAATGCTGGATTACCAACATTAGTAAAAAGATATCAGGAGGAGGTACTGATGAGCATTTTTTAGTTAGAAGTTGAAAATAAATCAGTAGAACTGATTGTTTTGTGTTTTAATATTTAGGATGCTTCTCTAAGGAAAGAGTCTCGAAAAAATTCGTGAAGTTATTAATACACCAGAAAATATTGTAACGGTATTTTCCCATTGTATATTTATCTCGTCATGTGCAGTAAATTCATTTTTCCTTTTTATCATTTAAGATCATGGACGATAATAACTGCAACGAAGGAAAAAAAGATATTGTGTCTTCAATCAAGTATGATCTTAGAAAGATTGAGAAAAAAAATTATGCTGAGACCATTTCATCATCTGACGAGTTGGATTTAGATCATCTGGAGGAAAAGATAATCGTAAGCAATAAAAAACAATACATTATGGTTTAGATTAAAAATTATTTTTTCTTTGTTTAATCTAAAATTTTCACAGGATTAATTAAATTCCGAAATATCATCTGCTTGTGAAAATTCCTCAGATGTCAATTTTTATGAAGATACAGCCGATCCTGCTGATATCTCATTTAATTATTTCGTCAATCCAAAAATTGATAATAAAAGTTTCAACTGGAAATTAAAAAATAACGAAAGTGTAAGAAGTCGGCTTATAGCTATGAAAAAAGATACAATTGAAAAAGAAAAAAAAACTGAAAATGTTGATTCAAAAATTTTAAGTGTTATAAGGTAAAATATAATAATAATATTATTAATGGTACTTTTGTAATTTAATAATTGCTTTATAAATATATGTACAGGTTGGGACTACCTTCAATAATAGATCTTTCGTCCGAGTTTAAAGAAGGCATGTACTCTTGGTTTGGGACAACTGGATGCCATTAAAGAGAGAAGATTATCAAAAATTGACTTGAAGTCGAAAAGTTTACTGGAGAAGTATCAGAATTGATAACAAAAGTAGAAAATGTATATAAAACGTACTTCTGTTGAAATTATTATCACATGTGGTCAAATTTTTACACTTTTCATTATACTATACATTTAGCTTTGTAATTCATATGATTATTTGGGGGCACGAAAACTTGTATTAGAAAAAAAATAATGGAACGGGTTATTGATAGTCAAATGAGAAAAGTGGCTAAAATATATTTTTAACATGTATGTTTATTATATTTTTTTTTTGTGTTTTTTTCGTTTTGAAATTCATCAAATTTAAGTTGAAACAGTTGAAACTTTATTTTATCAGCATTGATTTATTTTTAGAAATCCCTATACCTTTGTCAATGAAAGTGGTCAGCTTCAAAATCATACTGAAATCCAATATGTGATGATTTTAGCAAGCCCTATTTTAGACATAATATTCTCAGATCAAAGAGATCATGTTAAACTGATGTGGTAAGTAGTTTTATTAACTCTGAAGAAATTTTCAATTGCAGATCTGATTTATCAATTTTTCAAAGGAGAAATGGTTTCACAAGCCACTAATGATTCATGGAAAAAGATTAACCTTTGTATAAGAACTAAGGATGGTATGAAAGAGTTGAGCCATTCTGAATGTGCTTGGAAAGTTACATTTATAAAAATTTTAAAAGATTGAAGCAAATTGCTAAGAATTATTTTGAGAACAATCTTCCAGATGAAACTTTAGAAGATACAGTAATTTTTGAATTACAGTTAGCAGGTAAGATTATAACATCATTGAATATTATACATTTACATTATACACTAGTCAAATACAAAAGAATTGTTGTACCTTGTAGTAATTCCTATATTATAAATCAGCTAAAAATTGAAAAAAATTGACTGTTCTATTGCATCCTATATTACAAATCAACTAAAATTGGAATTTCTTTTCAGTATGATAATTTTTTTATATTTGACCTGTAATATATATTTGTTAGAATTAGTTGTTTTTCATGTTTTAATAACTGAATGAAAGGTTATACACTAGTCAAATGATCAAAAATCAGTAGTGATTCATATTATAAAATTAGTTAAAATTGACTGTTCAATTTGTGAATCACCTGAAAATTGGTACAAATTGGGCATCTGATTTTTTGACAATTTTTGAATAATTTTTGATTAGAGATTGGAACTGGATTCTTATAAACAAACTGAATATTTGAATTATTTTAAAACTGGATATCCAGATAAAAATGATCTAGTTTGAAATATAAATTAAATAAAATAAGTTTGATTATTATAATAAATTTCAGTTAAGTTTTTATTTAAATTAATATTTAATTTGGATAAAATAAGATTAATTATTATTATAACATTTAAATTTTAACTAGATAAAATAAAATTTAATCATGATTTATCAAGAAATTTTAGGAGACAAAAATTTGTACAAATTTTTATTATCTGCAAAAATTTACAAAAGTTTGTATTTTTTTTTTGTTTTTTTTGATTTTACTTATAATTTGTAAAATATAAAGTAATTTTTTATTAAGATATTTCTAATATTATAAAATAATCTTGTTGGTTACAAAATGATATATGTTTCATCCCTGTAATATTGATATTTGTAAGGTTATTCTAGTTTAAAGAAAAATATCTGTGAAGAATTGTGTATATAAATTTTCATATGATTTTTTCACAGACATTTATCAGTAATTATATTAATTTGAAAACTTTCGAAATTATATTGCAATGTTGAATTTTGAAAGTTATTGATTGTGTCACAACCCTTCGAAATCAAAATTTAACAGTTAAATTTTGATACGTATTATTTTGTTATCGAAAACCTTCAAAGTTCAATGTTAAATTTTTTAATAATAATGTAAACTTTCGAAATTCAACAGCTAGTATTTTAATGTATTTTGTTTCAGGTTTATTGTTTTTGGATTATTTCAAATTTAATCATTTTCATTGTAATTCAATATATATTGTGGAAAATTTCATTTTGTAATATTTTATTACTTTCTAAATTTTTATATAATTTATTATTAATTTTATTATTAAAAGATAATAATAAATATTTTATAATATTTTTTCTATTTTTCTATACATTTTTGTACAATGACACAATAATGTAAGAAATTATTTTTTATATAATTCTTAAATATGATATAGTTTTCTATTTTCTGTAATATTATATTACTTGATACTTCTTTTCGTCTTTATTCTTTTTTAAAGATAATAATATTTTAGCTTTTGTTTTGTTTTTTCGTAATTTTACAAAAGTTTAAAAGATATTTATTTACCTTTTTGAGATTTTTTCAAATTTCTTATAAATTTTCTATTATAATAATTAAAGTTAATATTATTAATTTGAATTTTCTATTATTTAAATTATCAGAATATATTACATCATATATTTTCAAAATACTTATATATAATTAAATATTGTAATATTTTGTGATTCAAAGTAAATTAATTTTTTTAAATAATTAGTTTAAATATTTATATTGTTATTATAAATATGTTAACTATATAAAACCTTAATGTAATTATTTAATAAAATAAATTCTTTAAAAAAAGATCTTTAAATTATACAGAAAAATTTAAAATTTTTTTATCTTATAAATTTACAGAAATAATTTATTAGTTTTCGTCTCTTTGAAGATATTCTATTGATATATATATTATTAATATTCTAATATTACAAAATAAAATCGTATAGATCAAGTAATAGTATTACAAAATTAATGTACTTGATATAACAATAGAATAAATTATAGAAAGATATAAATATAACATTTCGAAATTTTTTATAAGTATATATTAAAGTTAATGAGGTATTCCTGAAAGTAAACAAAATATAAAATATATTTATTTACTTGTTAAGTTATAAAATAAAGTCAACACAAGTCAATAAATATTATTAAATATATTTTAAATTATTGCCTTTTATTTGATGTATTTTGATATAACAATAATAAAAATATGAAGATATAAATTTATTTCTTTTTAAAGAGTTTTGTATGGATTGTTTAGAAAGTAAAAGTAGTTATTCTGAAAATAAACAAAAGAATACATAATTAAATAATAAGTCATATGAGATAACTGATCTTATTACACAAACAAAAAACATTAACCTTCGAAAATGATAATCAACAATATAATAAATTTCAAAAAATATTGTTAATAATATAATATCAATTAAAATTGTTGTAATAAACTTTGAAAGATATCATTGACAATGCAATATCAATTGAAAATCATAATAATATAAATACTGTTGACCGTGATTAC